TTCAGCAGTAGCGCTTTGTTTACCTGTGTTTATTCGACTTTCTTTCGACTCGACGTCTATCTAAACCAAGCTGCCTGAGAACTGGACTGACCAGGAGTGACCAGTGCGATCAGCGCTCTCCTAATCGATACCAACGACAAAATCTTTTCGACGGAATCGTCCAGAGTAATTTACCAGGTGCCACTGCATTGCTCCAAGGTCGCGCGCCAAAAGGCATTAGAAACAGAAGGTGCAATCACTAATCTGTTTCACCAAAAAGACGTGTCAAGACCTTGATACTGTCTCACTGACTGACCAATCACAATGTCCAACAAACAGACGAATCAACAGGTGCCCCCGTTTTAGACCTATTGTGAGGCTTTCTGTATCTTCGCAATACAATTTGATATCCCATAACCATATCCACAAGAAGAGATGCCATCGAAATAACATATTTTGACTTTAGAGTATAGACAATGAAACCCCATGTGAAAAAACGCGAAATGATTGTCTTGGAATTGCTGCTTCGAATCAAACGATGCTTGCATCCTTCAGGTTCAGGGTTGGTATGCAGCGGCCGCTGCACACTTCGTCACAACTGGATCTCAGATAGTTGAAGTGAGTCCTTGAACAAATGGTCCCTGCAATTAAGAATGAATTGACTGGAGAATGAAGAACGTGTCTTCACTGGAATTATGCCAACTTTATTGATGAAAAACGTGCAGTTTTTGGGTGGAATTGATGGTCAATGTATTACTGGGGTTATAGCACGAAAAGCAGGATTCTATCGATCTAGTGTTTGTGTGGGATCGAAAAAATTCAGTCGGTACCTACATGACAAATACAGGTGGTCGATTCACATGTCAGATCGTGGCCTGTTTCGGTTTCAGAAAACGCGCTTTATTTCATGGTCATTCAACATAGCAGTTCACACATGCCAACTAAAAAAAACTCCGGTCATTGTTCCGCCCATCAAAACCGTGATTTAGACATCTGAAATCGATGCCCCTCCCCCGACAGTAGTGTTTTTCACACATTTTATGAGCTGTGGTCCTTTGTCGTTCAAAAATGCAAATGAGTATCTTTCACTAATGTCGTACAACTTGGGNGCTTCCCTACAAAATGGGTTCTGACAAGGATGTCCACCGTCTCTGTTTTTATTCGGCTTCGTCATCGATAAACCAATAAGGTAAACGCTGGAACATCTTCAAAACTACGGAGTTCGAATTGTTGCCAGTGAGAAATTTGTCGATCTGGAGTACGCAGATGACATCGTCCTCATCTTTGAAAACCAAGGTGAAGCACAATCCCTGTTGAATAGACTGACCACTGTTATACCATCTTTCAGCATTCGCCTCGCACCTTCAAAGTGCAAAGTCATGCTTCGGAGCGTACAGCCTCTGAACATAGCCCTTACAATTCAAGGAGAATCCCTGGAGATTTTGGAATATTTTCACATACCTCTGACAGAAATGTGTCTGATGAAGTCGGTGCAAGAATCTCAAAGGCTCGAATCACGTTTTCTAATTTCCGTCACTTGTGGCATCAAAAAGGCATATCACTAGATCCTAAGGGTCGTGTGTACCAGGCTACAGTAAGGGCTGGGTTGCTGTATGTGTGTGATACGTGGCCTCTGCGGACAGATGATGTCATCCGTCTTCAGGTTTTTTTTACCAACGATGCCTCAGAAGCGTTGCTGGTGCTTGATAGCGTCAGCAGATCGGCACTAAAGTTTGGAAATCGAATTCACAAAAACTCGTGACCATGAATGGAGTCGTCATGATCGCTGACAGCAAACGGTGCTTCACGACTGTTCAACCATTTCACAATAAGTGAAAATGATCGATGGAAAGTGACTAGTGCTAGCCTAGCCAACATTTTTTCGCCTCAAACACTGGTTTTGGCAATCGAGATGAAACGACGTTTTTCTGCCGTATCTTGCATTGTCTCTAGTCCAGGACGCGAGGGCCATGTCAGCGCCCCTCTGGAAGAACAGTCGTGCCCACATCATTCCCTCAAGATTGCCGAAAGCAAATAAATATGAGATTCCAATAAATAGTTTTTGATGATGATGATTGGTTCAAAGCGCTACATGTTAGTGATGGAGCGCATGATACGGGCAGATCTCTGAATGATTGTCTAAATACTTCATCTTGAGTGAAAGTGATGGCAGGCTACAATAACCGACTGAACCGGTGATGATGCATCAGACCAAAATGCGAGGAATGTTCCGAAATAAGCGGATACAATCCTTTGTGTTAATAATGTGTTACTCATAAACGAGAGGTTCAGTTGATTCTTCCGGTGAACCCAAACTGGTGGTATTCACATGAGTGTGACTGTGCCTAGCCATTGACAACACTTCACAAGTCAGTTATATTGAAGGGAAATCGTTCAGCTGTAGCACCCTTTCGATGCCTAACTGCCATGCCACCCGAAGGTTGCACGAGGGCTGGTTACCCAAGCCTAGACAGGGGAAGTCGAGAGGCAGAGGTTTGGTTCGAACCACGGAACTTCCGGTCAATAAATTCACGCTCTAACCACTTGGAACACCTCGCCCCAGTTATATCGAACAGGTCATGTTGGTGTTTGAAAGTCACGTGATTCTGAATTTAGGATCAGATTGCTATTTTCCTGCCTGTCTTTTTCTCCCCACTAGTAATAATTAATAACATGCGTTCTTTTTCATCGGCCACCTCCAAGCGAAGACCACTTCACCGCATGAGTTCGATTCTTCCAGGTGGTCCCCCCCCCCGGAGGTTAAAGGTGGTCCCCCCCCCGGAGGTTAACAAATGTGCATTAACTTACGGCGCGACTAAGACCACTGTACTTGGAGTACTCTCCAAGAAATCTGTGTTTTGGAACTAGAAGTCTTGTGGAATTGAAGAAATGCCTTCTACTGGCTGAAATGGACTGCTTATGCACACTGACGGATATTGGCGTCTGATTGAAACGGACTGTGAGTTAACTGTGCTGTGCAATATCTCCTCAGGGCTAGACATCTCCCTGGAAAGTCAACAACAACGTTCCTTGCCTGTCCATTCTGAAAAAAGGCTAGTTGCACATCGCTCTGGAATTCGATTCATTACCGCTAGTCTTCAAAGTTTGAGCTGCATTTCGTAAACCACATCAAAACCGAGAGTGGTGAAATTACGCATCGATATTTGACACAACACGGACGGTTACTGGGTCGCCGTTCCAGGCGTCGCGAATACCAATCACATCGCTCGAGTGTGAACATGTTCATCTGTTCTGGTATGACAATTCCTGTGCATCCAGCGTACGCTGATGAAGTAGTCATAACACGCTCGTCTCGCCTACCAAAATTCCGGAATGCAAACCCCAGCACGCTCAACAGTATAGTTTACCGATTAAGTCCAGTCAGGGGGGGGGGGGGCCGAGTCCTTTGAACTCGCAAGAACGATCGCCCGAGGACAGGACTGTTCGAACGGGGTTAATTCCAATGTGATTTACATAACAGTTGTGCGGTATTGAGTTAATATGTAGAACAAGACTCGAATGCGGTCAGCGGTGTTTTTAGTTTTGGGAGGCGCTGTGAGAGTAGACCACAATATCAGTGTCAAATTGCCCAGTCCCGTTAAGCTTTTTCGGCTCTAGAGTGGTCAAACTTTCATACCGACCTCCAAGTGACAGCTGAGAGCCGAGAGAGCGTGTGTGTCCGGAGGCCAGTAGTCCCTAATAACCCAAAATCACATAATTTGGACGCGTGTCACGTGCAGGGCACGGATCAAACGTGGGCGTCTCCTGATTGGTCAGAATGCCAGCCAGTCCGGATCGGGCATCTTGGACTCGACGCTTCTCGCCCCCTCACGGAGATTCTAGCACGACCTTGTGGTACACCCTGTGATTACCCTATAAATAGTTGTAATAATTTTCCTTTGTTTCCATAAAGAGTTGTGTAGAGCTACCGTACCTTTGGTATACCATAGTGGGCGGAGCAGGAAGCCCAGGGACCGATACAGAGTTGCATTACCGTTCAGCAAGACACAACAGTTGTCTGGGAAGTCCGTGGCTCGAACCCAACCTCTGCATCTGGACTGCTTGAGTAGCCTGGACGTATCTCGACCTTCGTGCTTCCTTCGGGTGGCATGGCAACTAGACCTTAGTGCATGCAACTTAGCCGGTCAGGTTCGCAATCAGAACAGTATGCGCCTGCAAGCCCACAGTTTGCTGGGATTCGCTCCACGCAGCTTCACCAGTGATTTTTCCAAACAAACCACGTGGAATTGCGGTTCAAAAGTCCCGTCAAAATTATCCTGGTTCTTCTCAGGAGGTGTCCAATAGAGATTTCATCCTGCCAATCTGTACCGGAAGGCCGGAACCACTGCATAACTGTTTCCTCTTAGTTTAGAATCATCAACAGAGTTCACCTCATGAAATTCGAGGCAGTTCCGAATCTGCCAAACTTTTCGGCCAATGATTGGCTACGAGTGGCTGGTCAGCGGTGTGATTGGCCCTCACTTAGACATAACACCACTCATCCTGCCGTGGCAGAAACCACGTCACGTGGTCACGTATTGACTGGCTCCTCGGGGGGATAGGATTTGTCATACTGCTATCCAAACCATTCATGTATTGAATACTTGTTCAGTCTTGAGTTCTGACTGAGTTGAGTCGGATAATCTGATGAGGATTGTTCAGTCTGATTGTGACTTTCCTGGACGGATGATCAAATCAACCACCCAGCATAAAGTGAAGCGATCTCTTTGGCATGCAATCAACATTTTGAGTGGTCAGTCAGTTGGACGGAATAAGTGAACTACGCACGAGTCCTTGCATCAGAAACTGAGTTTTTAGTTACGGTTTCAAGAAAACCGAGTCACAGTATCCATCCCGGAGCTTGAACTGATGTGCAAAGTTTAATAGATGAGAAGCCGTCAAAGTATGGAGAAGAAACCGATGACAGGTTCCAGTTCCTTGGTGTTGTATTGAGCATGAGTCAGGATAGTTAAATGCCGGAGATCTACACAGCACATGAATTTTCACAGGCTTGTGACATTAGGTATAAGGGAGACGTAATAAAATATTCGGTGTACATGACATGTGCACCGATGATAATCTCTATGCCGAACTGCAGCGTATCTATGAAATTTGGATGACGAATGGGTGTTCAGAGCAGTTTATAAAGACACCTCAAGCCTTCGACAGAATGTGGAACCCCAAGAAGCCCTTCAGCCCGTCTACATCCGCCTTCCCCTTAGAAACAGCATGACTTCGAAACGCTGATCCGTTGTCAGATTCCTAGCTTGAAACGGACGTCCAATTCAGCCCGTCTAATTCAGCTCAACACTGCCAACACCCAACACCAACCTCCAGAATAAACTATCTGTCTGTAATTCATCAGTAGCGCTTTGTTTACCTGTGTTTATTCGACTTTCTTTCGACTCGACGTCTATCTAAACCAAGCTGCCTGAGAACTGGACTGACCAGGATGTGACCAGTGCGATCAGCGCTCTCCTAATCGATACCAACGACAAAATCATTTCGACGGAATCGTCCAGAGTAATTTACCAGGTGCCACTGCATTGCTCCAAGGTCGCGCGCCAAAAGGCATTAGAAACAGAAGGTGCAATCACTAATCTGTGTCACCAAAAAGACGTGTCAAGACCTTGATACTGTCTCACTGACTGACCAATCACAATGTCCAACAAACAGACGAATCAACAGGTGCCCCCGTTTTAGGCCTATTGTGAGGCTTTCTGTATCTTCGCAATACAATTTGATATCCCATAACCATATCCACAAGAAGAGATGCCATCGAAATGACATATTTTGAGTTTAGAGTATAGACAATGAAACCCCATGTGAAAAAAAGCGAAATGATTGTCTTGGAATTGCTGCTTCGAATCAAACGATGCTTGCATCCTTCAGGTTCAGGGTTGGTATGCAGCGGCCGCTGCACACTTCGTCACAACTGGATCTCAGATAGTTGAAGTGAGTCCTTGAACAAATGGTCCCTGCAATTAAGAATGAATTGACTGGAGAATGAAGAACGTGTCTTCACTGGAATTATGCCAACTTTATTGATGAAAAACGTGCAGTTTTTGGGTGGAATTGATTGGTCAATGTTTACTGGGGTTATAGCACGAAAAGCAGGATTCTATCGATCTAGTGTTTGTGTGGGATCGAAAAAATTCAGTCGGTACCTAACTGACAAATACAGGTGGTCGATTCACATGTCAGATCGTGGCCTGTTTCGGTTTCAGAAAACGCGCTTTATTTCATGGTCATTCAACATAGCAGTTCACACATGCCAACTAAAAAAAACTCCGGTCATTGTTCCGCCCATCAAAACCGTGATTTAGACATCTGAAATCGATGCCCCTCCCCCGACAGTAGTGTTTTTCACACATTTTATGAGCTGTGGTCCTTTGTCGTTCAAAAATGCAAATGAGTATCTTTCACTAATGTCGTACAACTTGGGTTGACGAGAACTTTGGGACTGCGCCTACCTGATGATCCCAAAGAAGGGCGAAACCGGTCGGGGGCTGTCGAAGCGTTCTCAGCAACCTTATGAGTAGTATGTTACCTCAGTTTGTTATTCCTTCATCCAAAATACTTATAATAGCATTTCGTACCCATTGAATATATCCTTCATGGAAAACAAACTTTTATTCCATTCTTTTTTAACTTGAATTACCACATTTTTATCAAATATAGGTTCACAATCCGATCTTTTTGGTCGCACTTTTCGCAGACAGTCGGATGGTCAGCCGGTGAAAAATACTAGCTTCTTCTGGACAGAATGAATGCCTCATCCTTGTTATTTTGTGAAATTTTTTGGTACGGACTTCAGGGATGGCAGAAAGTGCCTTTTTGTTATCTTACAGTGAGGTGTCTGGTGAATTATAGAGTTTTTAAGGGTGACCTACACCTCTCCTATGTTAAGACTTCCAAGTGTATTTTGTTTAATAAGATGGCTTGGTAAAATTCTCGAAACGTCTTGATAGGACTTTTGGTGTGCAGATAGAACTTAAGCTGTCTCAAAGTGTGTCCCAACTGCAACCTCGAGGGGCTGCGTACGCATGCCCTCCTTTGTCACGAAAGGACTGCATATCACCGTGGTTTTAGGTTTGGTAAGCCTCCGTAACCCAACTAGCCTGTCAACATCATCATCGTCAGCTCTAATAACCGCGTTATAATGGTTGTAGCTGCCACAGTTTCGTTCACCAATGATTCGTGGAGGTGGGGTAGATAGGTGCGCATTGGAGGCGGGAGATGATAAATTAGTGCGTGGATACAGCACTGTAAGTGGACTGTTAAGTGAGGGGAATCGGGAAGGGAGCTATGGATTGAAAGCAATAGCTTGGATGCACGAGCGCCATCCAGGGTGCGACTGGGCCATGTCTGACAATGTCTCTAACAATTTATATGGCTCGTCTCGGGGTCCTCATCCAGGAAGACGACAATAACCAGTGCAGCTGAGTTTGCTGGTAATGGCTTTCATACTTCGCTGCCAAGTCATTGTTTGACCGCCTCTGGCTCTCTTCCACCCTTCACGTGGTTGTGCGAAAAGACCCCTTCGACTGGCATACGCAGCACGCGGCCTAGCCAGCGCAACCTATGCAGTGTGATCAGTTCACAACAGATTGGATGTGGGTCAGACTAACAGCGTTTAAACCGTCCATGAACACGTTTAGCGACTTGTTCTTTAAGAGTTTGACTATACTGGTAGTCTTTCACCAGCCACAGTTGCTGCGAAAATATTCGGTTGAGGGACCTAATTATCCCCCCACCCTGGTCGAGTTTTGAGCTCCATGACAACATGCGACAACAAACTGTCACGCACGTGGCAGCTAAGCACCCGTATCCACTACTGGTTTGTCGCTCGCTATGATGGTGATGACGATAATGATACGTACACCCCTCAGGACACTTTGATCTCACATCAGATGCTTTTTAGATCTCTGTGAGGACTCTAAGGTTAGCGTCAGGTTGTGTAGAAATTCAACGGAGTATGGTACAAGCTGTAGCAAGTGCGATGTCCAAGATAGGGTGCCTTTTATCCTGTCCCGGGAAATCACTAAATAAGTGAGGATGATGGCTATTCAGGGATCGCGCCCGTCTAATGAACCCGAGGAACGGATAGATCTTAGTTTTCGGTGTCTGCCAGTTTGACGGATCTATATGTAAGTATTGGTGATGTACGAACTTTGGGCTTCGGCTCATGAGCTTTATTTCTGTGTTCAACTCACTGAACTGGTCATGACCACCTGTCTTCGGAGAATCACTGTCCCGTGTTGCTTCCATATTGTGCATACCACACCAGTATTCCATCTAACTCGAAATGTTTCATTGTCTACGCAAAAATTTTACAATGCCGATGTAGAACGGTAAGCTTGTTGTTTGTGGCCCATTCCACGACGAAGTAACCCGATCGAGGAATCCTTTTAGTTTCGATTTCCACCTGCGTGCTAAAAGACGAAACCTCCCCGTTGAGATGACTGGGTACTCGATTTTGTTTTTTTAGCAAATGTCATTTCTGAGGTTCACGCATTTCTGCGCGTTTTTCTGTCATACCAAGAGCTTATCGTACTGTTATACTACTATTATTATTANAGAAATCCCGTGTGTGAGCACTATCCAGAGAAACCATCACTCGGCGCTTCTCTACTTTCCTACGGGAATCTATAGAACAGTGTGAAATCTTCCCCTTTTAACGTGTGCTAGAGTTCCTTTCTGTCGCCTTGATGACTTTCAGTATTACTGTTGTTGGCCTTGTCCAAACTTCACTGTAGTGAGGGCGTTGGCTGTTAATCAGATGCCTGTTGGTCTGTTCGCGGAGCTTGGTAATTGACATGCAAACGTTTCGTCACCATGCGAGCAGACATTACCAGTGCACAGTTCGGTGGGGGTACTTCCTCTCTGCCTACTTGCGTTTATGTAGCCTTCAAAGGTCATCTGTTGTCTTCCAACATGATTGACTACTTGGGGGATAGCCGTTTTTGTGTGGATCTGTTTGTGATCTTTGTGTCGCGTTGCGTTCTGCGTTACTTTGAGTCGACTTTTATTCCAATGCTTTCTATCTTCCCTGGCTTTGACTCGCTCCCCTCCCGATTTGCATTGCGTTGTGGCCTGGTCTTCTTCACATTGATTGGTTATTTGTCATGGCTGGTGTCCCTTCGTCCACTGGTTAATTTCTTAATCCAATCAAAACGATGTGTCCGTCTGAATCGTGGGGGCGAGATGGACAACGTGGTTGGGGCGCGGATTTACTGACCGGAAGGTCCGTGGTTCGTGTTCTCTTGCTCCTAGTGATTGCTCGATAGGATCCATTTCCGTATGTTTGTTGATAGCTTCTTCGATGGAGTGCGACGACTTCATAAATTCACGTTCTTTCTTCGTTCTTGCTTGAGCCAGTATGTGAACGCCGCTCCAATCGACCTCTTCTCATATATTTCGGTGGGGACCTTCCTGTTTGTTCTACATACCGTATGTCGCGTTTGATCCTGTTTACGACATTGCTCTTCATCATTGGATCTAGTTTTCGGTAGTGTAATGAGGACTCTACTGGAGGCACAGGAACCAAAAAAGACGGCATGTGACTGTTGTCCACTAGTCTTTTTAGGAGTATCCCCTTCTGGTGCAACCGTACTTGAATGCTCTTGATTGGAGGGGCCCACTATGGGAAACTGCGCTCAATGTGGGTAGGGCTGGAATAAACATCTTGGGTTACTGGGCATCCCAAGTTACCGTTATACAAATTGACTTTGCATCGTCTGTTTTATTCACTTGGGTAGGCATTCAGTTCCACTGGGTACCGGGTGCACAGGACGATCGAGATGGGACAGAGCTGTTAGCCCACGAGCGCCTCCTAGAAGGATAGACGCGCGGATGACTTGGTGTATTGGGTATAGAATTCACCACGTGGGATGAATGAACTATCGGAGTACGGTGAGTAATGGTGGCTCCTTAGAAAGCTGCAAATACACAGAGTTGTTTTCTTGACAAAGATTGTATGACTGGTTCTCAATAGCTGCTTCACTGACCCATGGATTGTAGGGCTGGACGTTTCGTAGGACCGACCAGCGTCGCCCCTCTTTGGAGCGAGATGGCTCAGTGGTTAGAGCGCGTGGTTCGAACCCAGCCTCTGCCTCTCGACTTCCCCTGGCGCTCAGTATTCGCATAATGGGATTGAATTTTCGATGGACTGATGGACTAAAGCAATCGGGCAGTTGAGTTGAGAGTACCAGTCCAAACTTTTGAGCCCCAATTAAGCATCCCGGGGTCTCGGCGATGCTGGGAAATTATCCCATCAGACTTTTCCGCCAGAGGTAGGACTGTCTCAATGGACAACGAAATTTGGTGAGCTGCAAAAATATGAACGTACATTAGAATGGTTTTTGGTTTGAGCACATAGGCAACTAAGTGCAACATTTTGGCGCAAAACGTTGAGTGCAACTAAGAGCATTGTGCGGATAATGGGCCCCACTTCCCCCGTCTACGGTTGGGCAACCTGGCAGTATCCCGACCCTCGTGCTTTCGTCGCCCGTGTAGACTGCCACTGGATTCTCAGCGGGCAACCCGAGTGGTTTATTAAATTCCATTTGGATCATGACGGCGTAAATCTGTATTGAACCGATTTTGTGCTCACTGGCCTACCCGGTCTTAAGGTGTATTGTGCATGTTGGACGTTCCCCGTTCTGAACCGCGACTTTGGTCACCGACCAGTGTTTGTGGGCTTCATCATCATCAACGACAGCAACATCAGTGTTAGCACTGATGCTTCACTGTCGTACAACCATGAGGTTAGTCTATATAA